TTTTTCAATTTCGTGCATTGGGAGGGCCAGTGTTCTTAAACACATGCATACACAAGGACAGTGTGAGTTGTTTTGAGAAAAAAGTAAATTTTTCTGTAGAGACAAAGGACCAAAAAATTATTAATGCAGAATGCCTGTCTGCTGCCTTTTTGCTGGAGCACAATGTACCACTGAGTAGATTGGATCTTACTGCAGCTTTGTTTAAGGATTGTTTTCCATGAGTGAAATTACTAAAAAATATTCAAGTGCAAAGACAGTTGTACAAAAAAATGGGTTCATGAACTTGATATGAAAAATAAATCTTAAGTTATTGATTGCATTAGAACAGTTTCATTCTGCCTGTCTACAGATGGAACCAAAAATACCAATTCAAAACTGTATCCAATCGTTGCTTCTTTTTTTAATCCAGAGCCATCAGAAATTGAGTGTAGTTTACTTTCTGTCCCCACTTTAGAAGGAGATTCAACAGACTTTAATATGCAGTGCAGCTAATTATTAAAACTTTATTAGAAAGTGCAATTCTTGAGGATAATTGCTTAGCACTTAGTGCCAACAGTGCACCAGGAGTGGTAGTCTTGAAAACTAATGTTGCAGGCTTTTTAAAAAATGCAAATTCAGATTTGCAAATTATGAGGTGCACCTGTCACCTCTTAAATTTAACAGATGATAAAAGGGCCAGCTTTAACACATTATTGATGTTTATTATTATCTTGAAAATATTTTTAAAAGAGAGAGAAATTTGAAACAATTCCAACAGCTACACATTACTAAAATAAGATAAAATCTGAAACATGTATGTACATGCTGTTATCTTTAGAGAAATGTTTATCTAGAATCTTTGATCAATTGAACCTACTTCTTACATTTTTCAAGGAAGAAGTAAATGTTACTAGAGTTAAGATAAAAGGTTCTATTGAAAGTTATAAAGTACCTTAATTAAATGGAGATGTAGTTATTACTTCCACTCTTAAAAATAGGTGTAAGAAAAATCAAGTAATTTCTTCACCTATGAGCAATAAATATAATTGGCAATTCTCAAACTAATACTGCAAAATATAAGTGCTCTTCCCCCCCCAAAAAAAAAAATTGCCTGACAAGGGATACATTTTCCGATTATTGTAAGTTTATCTTGTGAAGAATGAATGTGTTTTTGTCTTCGAGCATTAACAAAGCATTTTTCTTTATTGTACACTTCATTTTGTCATCATTCAATGTTCTTAACACAATTCTACAGGGCAAAATTCCATTAATTCATGTTTTGCAGTCAATGATTAGTGATCTGGTTCAGATACAGTCAAGTATTATTTAATGATTGGTGAAACTGATTAGTGTTTTTTTATTATTAAGAGGTGCAAATTCTATTATTAAAAGGTACTCTCATCAATGAAAAGAATAAAGTGACAACTGCTAAAAGTCCATTGACAAGGATTTATGGTCCATAGCAAGTACCTTTTCACCCTTTTTTTAACATTTCTTTGCTTAGTAATTTTCATTTCGTGTGACTTGAGAAAAATAACATGATTTTGCTGCTTGTAATGAGGTAAGCAGTACATAAAATGTTAGTTACTGCATATTCCCCCCTTCCCCCAACAGTTATGTTACTAGATTTCTTTTGTGTGGTGATTCTAAAAAGATCTTTATCATTCTTCAAAGGAACATCTAGGATGATTTCGGTGTTCCTTTAACTGATGAGTTATAGAATCTTACTCAACCTTTAATTATTACTTATTCTTTGTTTGTACAATATTACAGGCTTTTTGATTATCTGCTATTATTTTGCACAGATGCATTATAAAAAATCTCATTAAAGGAACTTTTCAATTAATCAACATTATGCAATGAAAATGAAAACTCTTGGCAGTACTATGTGGTATAAAATGATGCAGTTCACATCAATAAAATAAACACAACATTCATTATTTTTCTTTGCATAATGTACACTGCACCAAAAAAAAAAAAAAAAAAAAAAAAAAAAAAAAAAAAAGGATAGTTCTATATCGCCTGTTCTACTGGGCCAATTGACGATATCCAGCTTGTGTTTTTCATGTCTCGAAAGCGCAACTTAGGATATGTATTAGATTTATATATAGTATTAACTTATTTTGTGGCACCAGTTGTTAACGTTATTTTCTTTCTTCACATTCGTACGGGGTTCATGTGGATTTGGAGTGAATAGTGATGACACTTGATGAAGTATCGAAACACTTTATTTACCAATATTAATCAGGACAGCTCCAATAACACTTTTTACAGTCGTTGAAGATCTACAATAAACACGCTGGAACAATCAGCGACACAGCCTTCCCACTGGCAGGCAATAACTGTGGAGACAGCTTCACTGCAGAGTACAGCTCCCGACTCTGCTCGGTCGTTCTGGAACTTCACATACTTTCGAGACTGCTCACGCATCAACTCACGATGCACTCGATGACCCACAGAGCGCAGCTCCTGACTCTTCGGTTCAGTCGTTCCCAGAGCTTAACATACTCTGTCGACAATGCACTAACCGCAATACACTAAGAGACTCTTTGATGCATTAGACGACCCACTAGGCCTGGCATTCAACTCGATCGACTTTGCACAGACTGACTAACGTGGACTAACTATCTTGCACTCTCTAGACGAGGCACTCACTCTCCACGTACCAACAGGGTTTATATAGTTTTGGCTTGTGTTCGAGAATATTCTGGGTTAAACCGGTAAGAATTTGTCCCAGAAGGTTCTCCATCAGTCCATGGCATGCCGCCAATTTTATTGAAAATGGCAATTTCTCGCCAGATGTGGCAACCCTGCCGTTCCTTGCCATTTTATGCCAACCCTAAAGCTGCTTTGCGGAACAAAACAGTTCTTATCTCAGCTATCTTCAGCGCCTGGATATTTCGTAACAATAAATTGTTCTAATATAGGTATTTTGACACAAACTCAGACTTTTTCTGAAATGACATGCCAGTTTTTTTCCAGATTTCGATTCTACGACTCAAATTATGCCAGATTGCCAAGTTTTGTAAAAATCCCATGAGTAATTTTTAAAAAATTAGCTCTCAAAATTTTATCTTCTTAATGTTAATTGAATTTGATATATATTTAATAATATATCTTTTTTTATTAAACATACTTGATTCTTTCTTCCAAAATTCAAAATTTAGGCTCATTCAAATAAAATTCACCCATTTTTTATGATTATTTTTAAAATTTGTATTTTTTTAAATATTTTTTATAAATGTTTTGAAAACATTTTTGTATTATAACCTATAAAATTTTTAATGTCATCTTGAAGTAGATGTATTTCTAAGCATACCTGCAAAAAATTAGAGGTTTTTATTCAAAATGTCCTAGGAAATAGGCAAATTTACATTTTGACACATTTTGAAATTTGGCATATTTAATGTAAGGGATAATAATGAAAATGTGGTTTATGCACTTTGTTAAAATTATTTGAAAGAATGAATGATGCACCTTCTTCTTCTCGTGCATCAGTAAAAAAAAAAGGAAAGTACGTAGGTTAAACACTTCCGCCAAGGGAATTAAATTATTCTTGGTCCAAACAGAAAAAAATTTGGCAAGTTAAATTTTTTTTTTTATAAAAAATTATATAAGTGATTTTTCAACATTTTTTACTTTCATAGGCATGTAAGTTTCTATTTATGAGTTAAGCATTGAAATGAATATGATGCACATTTAAATTATTGTGGATCTATAAAATGATGGCAATATTATAATACAAGGGTCATTCAAGGTCTGCCGGGATTTTCGTACGTAACTAATTGATGAATAGCTGAATCATGATGAAACTTGTGGGTGACATAATGTATTCCTTCTTGAGTAACTAGCGCCCAGCATGACGTAATTTGGCATATGCGCAGCCATTGCAGTGAACATGGTGGCAAGCAGTGTGTTTGTGGCTGGGAGCAGCTGTGTGTAATCAAATTTGTTGTGAAGGAAAAAGGTAAACCAGCTGAGATTTTCAGAAGATTGCAAGCACAGTATAGTGAATAAACGATGTCATGGATAAGAGTGTATGAATGGTGTGAACAGTTTCATGAAGGACGGGAGCTGGTGACAAATGTAGCGCATGGGCACATTTGCCCGACTGCAGTCACACCAGTGAATATCGCATTTGTTGAGCAAATGATTCTTGAGAACCGGCGAGTAGCAGTGCAGGATATTGTTGCCAAGGTGAATATCAGTGTCAGGAGTGTTGAGACAATTATTCACGACCACTTACGCTTCCGCAAAATGTGCAAAGTGGGTTTCCCCGCCAGCTGACATTTGATCAGAAGAGGTCATGCATGATGGTCTATGAACAGCTTCTGAATCAATTTCGAGCCGAAGGTGATGAATTGTTACAATCCATCATCACATGTGATGAAACATGGTTGTACAGTTTAACCCCATAGAGCAAAAGAAGCAGCATGGAGTGGTGGCATAAAGGTTGCCCACCACTCAAAGAAAGCAAAACGCAGCCATCCGCTGAAAAGATCATGGCACTTCTGGGACATAAAGTATGAAAGTCCATTTGCAAGATAAGACGTAGTAGGTTGTCTGGAAATGTCATTCTTCTCCATGACAACGCCCACCCTCACACGGCCAATGTGGCAACAACAACTCTGGCCAAAATGCACGGGAAAGTACTGCCCATCCTCTGTACAGTTCAGATTTAGCCCCCAGTGATTATCATTTGTTTGCACTCCTTAAAGACCATCTGGGAGGGAAGAAATTCATGGCAGATGAAGCACTGCAGAACGATGTCCTCCAGTGACTATGATAACAGTCAAGTTCTTTCTGCGCCAAAGGAATCGGAGAGCTGCCACAACAATGGCAATGATGCCTCGACATACACGGAGAATACTTTGAAAAGTTTATATAGTTTGGTGCTTCTTGTGCTATCTATTTTCTCTGAAGTCCCACTAAACCTTGAATGGCCCATGTATAACTTTCAGTTATATTTATATGCAAAAAAAATCAAGTTAAAAACTTGTATATGCTTTGTTATATTTTAGAATGCTGTAAAAAAGAAAAAAGGTGGTTTGGATTCTTCAAAAGATGCTAATTCCAATTTCAAAGGAATTAAAAGGATTGAAGAACAACAACCTGAAGTTACTAAGAAACAGAAAAGTATGTAATGAGTTTTGTAAAAATTAAAAAAAAAAAAAGTTTTTTCCCATCACATGAGGAAAATAAGCCAGTGAGAATTAATTTTTTGTTAAATTACTTTATTTCAGTTATTAAATGTTAAGTGCATATTTTTATAGAAATAAGTTAATGTAAATAAAGAGAAACTTAATATGCTTCATTTTCCATTATTAAAATCATGTGCTGATTAAAGCGATACTTATTTTTTATTTTTAATTTACATGCACACACACACATATATAAACTGAGATAAATGCAGTTTTTATTTATTAAAAAATTTAATAAATTAATAAGTATCATTAATTAATACTGTGTTTTAAAAACTCAAATTTAATGTTAGTGAAACTTATGAATAAATATAGTTATAATTTAGTAAAAAGCAAAATACTTTATATGATTTATTTCAAAGGAAATAAATTAAGATGTGGTCTCTATATGTTGGTTCTCAGTTATGTGCAAGAAACTGTGTTTTATGCAAAATCTGAATTACCCTCAACTGATCCAGTATATATGTTTTTATTAGTTGATTATATTTTTCAAATTGACTTTTTTATTAAATTAAAAAGCAAACACTGCATTGTTTTCTGTTTAAATCTACTTCCATTAAAATTCTTAGGTTATTATAATCAAATGAAAATGTTTAATTTTCTATCTGGAAATATCCATGTACAGAACAAGTCCAAAACCTGCATGTCCAATATCCAGATCTGTAGCCAAACTTGTAAAGTTTAGGACTTCAGAAAAAGGCAGGTGTACCGTAAAAGCAATTTTTCTTCTGAATAAGTGAGACTTCTATATGTCACTTTCAAATATCTGCTGGCGTGAAAATTGCATTGTGACCAGTGGCAATACATTGACATTGTATTGACATTTGCTATGATCATCCTTCAGTGACTGAGAGTTTAGCATTTTTCTATCTGAGCTAAACAAACGTAAAACCCTGGTACATTTATTTTGAGTGGGACATTGGTCATTTGTTCTTTTGGGGGTGGGGGCACATCAGTTGGAAACGGAGAACCGAGGATTCTGAGGAATCTAAGTTTAGTTAACATAGCAAACTGAGCTCTTCCCTTAACTTTCTGTTTTGAAGCAGCTTACTCTTTCTCAGAACTGTATATCTGCCGATCAGCCAGTGGATACAGGAATTTCGCACACACTGAAAGACTCATATAAAGTTAACTTTTTAAGAACTGATGCTGAAGTAAGACCATGCAAGACTTCTAGAGATATTTTAATATAAAATATGCTTTGTGAGAGGCATTACAAGATCAAGAGAAAATGTGTCTCGAGATATTTTTAAAAATGCACAATTCATCGCAAGCTCCCTATTTTATCATAAGGTTGAGAGTTGCAAATTTGAAAGTTTTTAGCTATAAGAGAAGCAAAATTTTTTGCTAAATAAAGACGATATAACTGAAGCCTTAGATTATGATGGCAATGCTTTAATTATCAGTTGCTGTTTCAGTTTTGAGTTGCATTTTTAATTTCACATGGTGTTGGTCAGAAGAAAAAAGATCTTTCCTTATGCAAAATATCTCTTTCTTAAAGAAACATTAATAAAGAATAATTTCGCTCATAATTTCTACTTGTTATTTTACTGGATTTAAATTGGGGATCTAAAAATCTAGGTATTTTAAAAATCTGGAGTCAGTCACGTTGATTCCAGATTTTGGGCTTAATGCTGTAATGTAGGAAAATTAATTTGCATATCATAGGAACAGGTTTCCTGAATGTAAAACAAATGGGACAAGAATAATTTACCTATCCTTATAAATAACTACATTAATAAAAAATGGGAACCCTTTGTTAATTTTCTTGAAACAAACCCTTCTATTCATAAACTATTTTTTTGGCATATAAAATGGTGTAATTTTTAGTAGCATCTATGAAAACTTGTGAATTCTAATATGGTGTTCTGAGAAGCATAAAATTAGGCCACTAGTATGCTGCTGTGAATTTGCATAGCTGTTTATATTTATGTAATATTAATCAATGCAATTAACAGTTTTCTTGTTTAGGATTTGTCTTTACAATAAGAGTTGTCTAAAAGTTGATTGACTAATGCATGCCAGAGCTATTTATTGTGAAAGTAGGATGAACTTGTTGGAGGGCTGTTTAACAAAATGAAATGTAATGGACATTTGAAGATTACCAAATGACATAAAATTCTCCTTTATGTGAATAAATAAACTATATTACTAAGCACTTAAAGTAGATTTTTTAACTAGTTTCAGGTTTTGTGATTAAGTAATTTCAATATTACTACAAAAAATTATAGCCATTTCATAAAGTGTAAACATTTTCTGTTTGTTGTAATAATATACTATTTACTAAAATTTCTGCTTTGTGTGTAATTTTTAAAACTGATGTTTCTTTTGCATTTAATTTAATTATTAGCTTGCACAGTAATGTTAAATTTAGGATTATTATTCTGTTTATTTTCATAATTTATTGTATTCTTGAATTTAATGCACATATTTTCTCATCTTGTAGCTGAAAATATTAAACCTGTGGAGGAATCACAGTTAGTAAGCTTGTTTTTTTTATTTTTTTATTTTGTGTGCTTCTCTTCTATTCTTTAGCTTGCAATAAAGTTATTGTACACTAAGTCAACGAAAAGATGGCAATTTCGTAATTCCCATTCTAGTAGTCAATTGACTAAATTGAGGGGAAAAAAAAAAAAAAAAAAAAAACCATTTAAAATTTGATTTCAAATTATAGAAAAAAGAAATTATGGAAATTTAACTAAAAAAAAAAAAAAAGGAATTTTCAAATATAAACCAACGTTTATTAATACAGTCAAATACCGAAAATCCGCCGACCTGAAATCCGCCAACTCCTGAAATCCGCGTTGCCTCTCACAGGGTTCGTAGCGGTCCTTATAAGTGTTTATAAGTCCTTATATTTGAAAATAAAATGTAAAGGCCCTTATAGGTGCTTACTTTTTCTTTAAAGCCCTTATTTTTTTGTTTATAGTGCTTATTTTTTGCTTTTAGTGCTTTTTTTTTTAATGAACGCGCTATTTTCCTCTGTACCAAAGCCGAAACTAAATAAACAACTTTTCTTCCTAATATGGAATGTCAGATGATGAATCATACACCCAGAAATAGCTTTCCCCCCCTTTCTCTGCATTAACATAACCTTTGGTGTGCACGAAGAGTACAGACAGGTGCCCGTCCTTTTATTGGTCAAAGAATTGCGAAAGCAGTAGAAAATTCCGCTACATTCGGCATTCTTTTCCTCCCACCCAAATACTATACACGTTTGAATTTCTATCAAGATCTTAAAAATTTGCATTCTCGTTCTGCTTGGTCAGTTCATATTCGTGTTTATTATGATCGTTATGCTTATATTATGACCATATGTATGAATGTTTATAATAACATAGTTGCAATAACTGCTGAAGTATAGTAAACTTCCAAAAATGATTCTGTTTTAACACAGATTAGCTTTCTAAGGAATAATATTCGGAATGGCTTAAATAAAGGGAAAGTAATCGAATAGTCAAAATAATTTCATTTTTTTTGCCAATATATTATACAGTACGAAGGTTGGGAGGTCTCTTTTTTTTTTGTCACTTTGGATTGAATAGGACTAAAAGTTCTGCGGTCTACCAACCCAAGCGAAGAATGATTCTATTCCGGAAATTTAACGCCATCTGTTGAAAATTAGAATGAAAAACACCCCAGTTATTTAGTTCTTTATTCTTCCAATACCGGCAGTTGTTGATTCCGATTGCGTAATATCACGTAGGGAAGAATTACGGAAAATTGCGCAATAACGTTTGCAATATTTTGCAGAGATAATTAATTTTGATGTTCAGTCTTACAAAAATTTGTTCATGAACACTTAAAAGAATTTTACTGTCCTTGCTAAGCGGAATATTTTTTAGTTCGGTTGGTTTATTTTTATATGATGCACATATTGAAATGTCAAAAGCATTTATTTAGCAGAAAAATCTAAAGAGCGGCTACAGTCTACCCGCCCCCCCCTTCCGCTCCTTCAAGTTACGCTCGACTGTCCGAATATTTGGCAATTTCCAAGTGTGCGGGTTAGTTAATCTTTTACTGTTAAAGATGACTGCATGAAGCAAATTTCTGTCTTTTGATTTCAGAAATGTTCCTCTTTTTTACTTAAATTACTTTGCTTGCAATATCTGTTAAGAGAAAACTGATATACAATGAAAATTTAGAAAATGTTCAGAATTTAGATTTAAATTATTTAAATATCAATATGAGTGGAAAAATAAATTGTATTTATTATTAGGTTCCAAGTGAATACAATAAATATACCTTATTATTATTTATTTTCTCTATTTTGAACTGAAATTTCATCATTAAATCTTGTAATATAGTTTAGTTCTTCATAGTTTTTTTTTTTTTCTCTCATTGTAAACAAGTTCTGTAAATTGAACTATTATTTAAAACTAAAAACAACAACAACAAAAAAAAGTAATTATTTTCCATGGTTGAGGTAATGCTTGTTGTCTCTTAATAAGTACTTCATTTCTCATATTTTAAATTACAAGTCTAATTTTTAAGGTTATGCAGTCGTGTATGATGTAATTAGACAGGTGCTTATTTTTTTTCTTAAAATGTGCTTGAAAAGTGCTTATAGGTGCTTATTTTTTTAACTAAAATGTGGCTTTGAACTCTGCCTCATAATATAAACATTCAGTTTGTAGATTCTGGAAACCAAAACATTGAGTATGAAATATCGAAGAAAAAATACTTACTGAATAATGACATCATAATTACCAAATAATAATGAGTCATAATGGAAATACCAAATTATTGACATAAAAGAAAAGTTAAAAAAATAAGATGAAAGTTTCCATATAACTCACTACACCTGCCTGCATGCTTCAATTTAATGTCATTGCTTATTACTGCACAATTTTTATGATGAATGCCTATTTTTGTAAGTATTAAGATATGCCTGCTCAAGCAGCTGAATTTTCTTCGCCCACGGGTGTTGGTACTTCCCTAGTACCATTTATTTGGAAATATCTTTGCATAGTGCACTTTAATGTGATCTACTGGCGAAAATCTTTAGTAGTTAATGACCAGAAAAAGGTAAGTCATAAAAGATAAAAGTTTTCTCCCTCTAATGTCTGCATCGAGGTAAAAAAGCAGACGATTTACTCAACTCTTCAAGTTCACTATTCAGGTTGTATTTTCTGAGCTTTGTTATTTCACGAGGTTGTTTAGTGCTGTTTTTTTTTTATATCCTGATATTTTGTGGATAAATTAAGAATATTTTAAATTTCAGCCCTTTTTAATACATTGACAGATAAGAAATGCACTCATGATTTTACTGCTTGCAACGTTGAAAAACGTAAACACATTGCATTGACGGTAACGCAAAAAAGTGCAAATTCTGCAAAAGATGAAGGCAGCTGCTACTCCTCGATTTATAGCAGATTGGTGTGGAATTGCGACATGATTGTGTATGATGTATGGAAAAATAAAGAAAAGCTGTTGAAATTTTACAGCAACAGTGATTCTAACAGCGGAATCCTAAATCAGAAACCTTTGCATGAGGTGAAATCAGCAAACCTCAATGCTGTGTACCTATAATACAATGAATAATATAATCAATTTATATATGTAATAATAATTTAATGAATATAATAAATTATTGCAATAATGTATGTAATAATTTAATTAAATGTATCTAATACGCATTATTTATTTTGCACTTTAGTTCGAATATTATGCTTTATCTTTTCTGTCCTGAAATCTGCAAAATCCTAAAATCTGCACAACCTCTGGTCCCAAGCTTTGCGGATTTCTGGACTTCTACTGTGTAACATAACAGTAAAAGTTTGCGAGTTTTTTCAAAATCTGTTTCTGACAAAACTTGATATTTTGGCATAATTATTTCTTTGATGCATTTAGAGAATGCCGTGTGTAAATCTAGTGTATATTATAAGTTGCTTGTCTAGATAACAAATGCAAGTTAGATTTTTTTTGACTGATCAACTACAGTGTAAAATTTTTCATCCCTCCCCATCAGTCACTGTAAGCTTTTGTGTAGTGCAATGTTTTTATGTAACAGTGATTTTTCAACTTTTTTATTCACAAAAAAATATCATTCTAACAAAATAAATTCTAACAAAAAACATTGCTTCCTTTCTTGTGAGTGTCTGCAGCACACTGCATATGATTTAGCAGAGTTATGGAATATTTAGACCTTGAGTTCAGTTAGTTGTTTGTAGACTTGCAGTTTTGGTCACCATTGCAATGATAATAGGAATAATAAGCAATGTTTTTCTTTCAGATGACCCATCACTAGATAATCAAGACCAACAATTCTTAAGAAATGTGACATTAGGTTTTATCTAATGCTCCAAAGGACATACCATTCACAATAAAAGAAATTACAGATATCATAAGAAAGCTTTCTAAATACAAAGCACCTGCCCATATGTGATCATCAATAAGTTAATTCAGATAATTCATAAATTAAAAAGGAATATCTTCACAAGTCTATGTAATAAATGCCTCCAGCTAGGAATTTTTCCATACTGCTTTAAAATAGACCAAGTGATCCTCTTCAGCAAGCCAGATCAACATCCAGAAAGGCCAAACTCGTACAATCCAATATACCTTCTTCCACTAATTGTTAACATTCTTGACAGAGTACACAGGCTGCCTGTGTCACCATCTAATCATAAACAAGGCTATACGTGAAAAGCAGTTTAGATTCTTATCCATATACTAGACTACCGCAAATGCAACTGACAGTGGCTCATGCCCAAAAGAGCGTTTTTTTAACGTTTTGTGTGTTACCTTTATTTATTAAATATCATGGTCTTGGTACTTAAACCATAAAATTCAATTCAACAGCAATATCACAAAATAATTTTAAAATGAGCATATCTTTAGAATTTCCGATACACGGTCTCACGCGCTGGAGCTAATATTTTTTCTTTTTCCACACAGTGTTGCCATTCCTCGCTTTGAAATCATGAGTATATTAATCAAAAATTCTTTAATGTGTGACAAAGTATGAAATAGATAATAAATCAAATTCCAAATTAGGGCTTCCAGATGCCTATATTCGGTGGAGAATTATGTTATTCAAAATTTGATAACTCTAAGTATAGTTATTTTTTAGTAGAATGCAAGAAACATACATACATTTATTCTGATTCTTCATTATTTAATTTCTTTAACTATAATACAAGGCTATAATATTTGGTGGCAACGGTTTGAAAAGTGAATCAATGCAAAATGCCCAAACGAAATTAATAGCCCTTTTGGGCTAACACACTTTGGGCTAAAAACAGAACTCAAGATGTACGTTCAACATTAATTTGCCTTGATTTGAAAAAGCATTTGATTCTCCGTAGTGGCCTGCAGTGATATTGGCCCTCAGGAACTCGAACTGCCCAGAAAATATATTCATTATTTTCTGCAAAAAAGGAAAGGTACATTTATTCCTAACAGAATAATTGGAAAGTACCAAAGTAAAGGCTGAATAAGGGAAGAAGGCTGTTCCAACTTAAATCATGTTAGTACATACAGAACCAGTACAAACCATCCAATCAAAAAGAGGACTAGGCCCTTTTCCCCCTTATTTTTCTGAATGAAACATAGCTTATTCCAGGCAGTTTATATGTGGGGAAAAGGGGGATCCTAATCATTACATCGTCAAGTGCTCATTAACAGAAACTATCACTTAAAACTCCCAGAGATTAGCATGTACCAGTGCCTTCAAATAGCATTTAAAACCAAATAACTAAGGAAAAAATAGAACTCTTAGTCATATTCCTCTCTAGGAGAAGAATTGTGCAATACAAGATAAGTAAATAATGAGCACTCTGGAATTTTCAAAAATTTAAATTAAATTGAGAAAATGACCTACTTGACAAAAAGATTGAAGGACAAAATGTATTAATGTACTGATGAGAATCTACAAAAAATACAAGAGGATAATAAACCTTTCTGTGTGAAGAAAAGAAAGATTATAAAATTTTTATAAAATTTCCTGAAAAATAATTCACATACAAAATGCTCTGTATATGCTCGGTACATACTCTCTGCATATTCATGTGCAAGATGCTGTCTGCATGCATGTATATAATATTATTATATATGTATGTAAAAGTATTGTTATGTATTTACCATTATGTATTATAAATATGCTATAATACATAAGTATGAATAGCACCACTGGCACAGTTATATTGTAAATATGTAAAGGATATAAAACAAATTATGCTTTATTGCCTTTAGTGTGCTGTCAACTGTTTATCAATGGATACTGAATGTTTTGCAACAGCATTGTGTTTAAATATTTTATTATATATATTGTAAAAGTATATAAATACTTTAATGCATATACAGTAAAAGTATCTGAATACTTTAAAATTGAAAAACTTGGAATTTTTTATGATTTTGCTCTAAATATTTGCAACATGCTGTTAAAACACAGAGGTAAGATTTTTGTCCTTTGACCCTCCTTAATTGACACAATTTTAAGCATGCTTGAATGGTTAATGGTTTTGGTTCTATTTTCTTTAACAAAATTATTTTCTTGCATTACAAAAGTTGTTTACTGACCCTGTTTGAAATTATGGGTATAAAACTGTTTATATTCCAAACATGTATCATCATCATTGCAAATGGTACTATTACAGCTACAGAAGCAGCAACTGTAACTAAAGATTTTGTGAATATATTTCAGCATCTGAAAAAAAGTTGCTGATAATAAATATAAGCTAAAATGTTAGTAAATTTGGGGAGAGGGTGATCAAATGAAGTTTAGAAGACATGGAAAAATTTGATTTTATATTACTAAGGAAGACAAAAGAAATTCAGGACAGTTTGAATGAGGAAATGGATCTTCACATGGATGCAATTTGTGTATTTGATTAAGTACTAATAAAATGTAAAATTATGCAAGAAGTGGATGTTTGGAATGAAAATGTTTTTGTATCTGATAGGGGCTTGCAAAAACGTGACTGAAAATTGACAGGGCACATTTGGCACTTTCAATTTTTTTTTAAAGATTTTATTTTAGTTTCAGCAGACATTTTGAATGAACTATTGCTTTGTTATGCTTTTACTTTGCATTATTAAATTAGTACCTTTTTTATTTGAATTTGATTGGTAGGAAATTTTTTTCATTTAAGGCAAGTAAAGAATACCAAACAACTTGCACTGTTGGAAGCATATTCATCATCATCTGAAGATGAAGATGATGATAAAGAGGCAGAAGGAAATAAGTTGATGGAGAATGTATCTGAAGGTGTTTTACCACCAGGTAACTAAATAAAAAAAAAAAAAAAAGTTTTGTTTACCGACTTCTGTGAAACTCTAGATCGCATTGCAGAAGTTTTTAAAAGAATGCATCATATAATCTGCCATATTTCTGTTAAAAGTTTAATTTCAAGGTACATCATATAACAATATATATTTCAAGGTACATCTTACATTATGTGTAAATAAATTTTATACATATGTTTGTAAATTATTTGGCTAAAATAAGACATTAAAGCACTCAGGAAACAATGCTGTATTATAACAAACTGGCTTGTTTAACATGATACAGAATAGTTTAATAGCCTGTATTTAAGCTTTTCGTCCTTAATTTTTAATTTAATTAATTTTTAAACATATTTACAATAAATAAATGAAAATACATTTCTAGTCTCATTTAAAATGGTAATTATTAATGTATTAGGAATTAAAACTATGCATCTTATTTGTGGAATAAAAATTCCTGATAGGAATTTTTAATGATATAAAGGCCAAGAATTTTAGGAAATTTATTATTTTTGTTTTATGTAAACCTAATTTTATTTTGTGAATAGAGTTTTTCTTTTAATTTGCCATCATTAGTTTTAAATTGTATTTTTAATACAGTACAAAGTCCGAGATCCGGACGTCCAGTATCCGGAATGATCTAAAATCCGGACCTCAAAGACACAAACTTTTTTTTTCGGTATGCTTTACGCATGTGCATGTGACTTTTCCTTCCATAATGAAACATGTGGAGAGTCCCAATTCTTAATTTCATTTAGGCACTAATTAAAATACCTTGTTATTGAAAAAACAATCATATAAGCATAAATTTGTGAGATTAATATTTTGGCACTGTAGCTGAGTATCTGCTTGGCATACATCTCAGACCGAAACATTCTACATAGGAACAGCATTATTTTACACCTACTAGTATTTTATATCTCTGACACCGACCTGCCGAATCATTATTTATTATAATTTGCTTTCATCCCCGCATGTTTATCAATACATGACAGCTTCAGTAATGACTCCTGCAGTGATGTCTAAAATTTTTTTTTTTATATTAGTAATTGAATAGGAAGAGTATGGCAACCTTTTATGCTAACATTACACTTGGTGATGATAACAGATTTAAGTTAAATGGGCTAAGAAATGTTGACAAGGAAAAATTTAAGAGAAGTTTCTTTTCATATGTTAAAAATAGAGTTTTGTTAATGAATCTCATAGCCCAAAAGATTACATTTAGTGCTATTTGAATTAAGAATAACTGATATATTATTCACATAAACTCAGAAACGATGGCAGAATATAACTGCACCGAATGGCAGATTTTAGGGAAGACAAAATTTTTGGAATTTAGGGAAGCACCGAGTGGTAAAATTAAGGAATGAGGAATTCTTTATAATTTAAGGAAAGCACTGGGATCCAAAGTTTAGGGGTGGGGAAAATTTAAAACTTAGGAAGGTGCTTTGTAGCAGAATTTAGGATCCACAGAGCCTGCACTAGGCGGTATTTAGCGCTGACCCTAGATAAAGCCTTAAGTATATGTGGGGAGTTTATTTATTCAGGATTCATATTAGTCTTAAACATGCACAAGAAATAGATGCAGGTAATAAATAATTAAACTAATACAATTCAGGCTTAATTCAATATGCAATAGAAGCAAGACAGAATTTAGCGGAACAATTTGTCTTTCATTGCCAATCTTATTATACATAACCAATAAAGTATAGTGGATGCTATTAAGCTAGGCCAAAATTATCTTTACTGATTCTAAGGCATTTCAGTTAATGTAGCAGACTGCAATGCTCCTTAATCTTCTAATTTGATCCAGCTTATTATTTTTTGAAGACTGTTATTATTAAAGCAATTTTATAAAAATTAAAGCTTGAACTTTTGATTATGTCGAAAAGAGTTTCTAATTCTGGAGCTGCCAAAGGATCTACAAAGCAAAAGCATGTTTTGATGGCCATTAAACAAAAAGTGGAATTGCTGCAAAAAATGGATAAAGCCATATCCATCTCAAATTATGCAAGAAGTATGGCATTGGAAAGTCAACTGTATATGACATAAGAAAAAAGAACTTTTTGAATTTTTTGTGCATTCCGACACCCCACTCGCAATGAATAACAGAAAAAATTTTTGTTTTGCTAAACATGACGATCATGACAAAATGTTGATTGAATGGGTCAGTGAGGGCAGGCCATGGATGGGTCCAATGTTAATTGCTCAAGCCAAAATATTTCATGAAGAAATGAACAGATGAATTCATTGGAGTCATTACTACTGAACAATTATCTCAAGAACAAATTTACAACCCTGATGAAACTGGTCTTTTCTGGAAATATGTACTTCCAAATAACTTGGCAACCTCTACAGAAAAGGCTCCAGTTGGTGTCAAAGATTCCAAATCGAGACTAACTATTTTAGCATGCGCAAATGCTGCAGGAATGCACAAGTGCAAACGTTTCGTAATCAGAAAACATACATGACCTCGAGCATTTAAAGGAGTAACAATTTTCCCTGTTATATATCGTGCAAATAAAAGAGCATGGATGACACAAGCGTTAATGAATGATTGGTTTGAAAATCATTTTATACCCGAGGCTCGGCAGCATTTGAATTGGTTGGCTTACCTGATGACTCAAAAGTAGTCCTGATTGTAGACAACTGTTCGGCTCGTATTTCACTTAAAGTTTTAGTGAAAGATAGTGTATCAGTATTATTTTCCCTCCAAATTGTACGTCCATCATTCAGCCGATGTATATCGAAACACTGAAATGCAAATATAAAGTAGCATTTTTAAAATCCATGTTAAATTTCTTGAACAATGGAAGACTATTTCAAGAATTTTTGAAATATTTTAGCATAAAATCTGCTGTGTGCAGTAGCAAGATCGTGGAGGATATGTGTCCTGATATTTTAAAAAATACTTAGCATAATTTATGGCCAGTTATCATATTCGATGGGGAAGATGATGAAGCTGATAGCCACAGTTTGAAGGTTTTCGGATATCGCAAACTAAGGGGGAAATTTTCCAGTTAATGGATTTTGTAAAGAAATGTGGAGAAGCGGTAATAAATGAAGATGATATAACAGAACTTTTTCATTGCGATAAAAGTGCCCCAAACATCGATCAGTTAACGGATGGCAAAATCTGTAGTATGGTTCTAGATCCAGAAACTAACTCAGCTGCTACTGATAGTAAAGAAAGTGACAGAGAGGTTATTGAAAACGAAAAAATTTTGATTGACAAATGAGTCGGAATTCTCAGGACAGCAATTACAGGATTTGAACAATGGTATTTAACAAGAAATTATGTCTGTTTCTAGAATTAAAGAGATAGTATTAGCACAAAAAAACGAAGCAACTTAAACAACTTACATTGAAAGAAATGTTTAATAAAGTAAACAAATAATTATTAAGTTTATTTTTCTAAATTTTGATACCCTTTTTTAGATCATAAATGCTCTTTATTTCATAAATCATTATTTCATATTTTTAATTTTATAATTTCTACATGCCATGTTACTAGATTTAAACTGATGATCTAATATTCGGAAAAATCCCAAATCCGGAATTGCTGAAGTCCTGACAAGTCCGGATCTCGGACTTCGTACTGTATATATTTTTATATTAAATTATAGCTTCTAAATAAGCATACTTTCTGAACCTGCATCAGAATGATTAAACTGGAAATGTAAGAAAGATACTGTGACAATTATGCATAAAGGTATTGAGAAAGCTCAGTTTACTTTCATTCTTAATGTTTTTATTTTGTATTTGAAATAACTATAAGCTTCCTCATGTAATACTTCACTTTTAATTTAGAGATTATTCTTTTGTAATATAAACAGTTTTAACCCAATTCCAGTGCTCTGAGGGATTTTTGCCAAAACTTATTTTTTTAAAAAAGAGATGAAACATGAGCAGCGAAGTAGAGTGAAATGCTAAAATTCTTCGACAATTGATTGATTTTTATGTTTTGGTTGATACTTTTTGTTACCATTTATTCAGCTACATGCTGCATCCTTAGATGTAAATGCCGAGTTGAGCCATGTTTTTATATTAATTTTATTACTAAATGTGAATATTAATTTTTTATCCAGTAGTATTAGTTTTTCAGTAATTATAAGTATGCATAAAATTTATAAATAAAGGTAGTAAAGTGCATTTTGATTAGTATTTTAATATGCTTTCATTATATTTTTAGATTTTTTTGAAAATGGGCCAACAGGCTCTGATATTACAACTGCTGCTTCAGTTGATCCTACATTAGAGCTTAAATCTTCATCATCAAAAATTGTGAATGATGATCAATTACCTGAAGGTTTTTTTGATGATCCAGTTTTAGATGCAAAGGTAATATTTATCAGTATGATAAAGCTATGTTAACTTATTATTATACTTCAGGTTTAGGCACCTGAAATATTTGATGCTTTCTTCTTAAAACTTCTGTGTTCATTATTTTGTAGTGATAGTTAAACTGTTAGTTATATATATTGCTGTACTATAAAATGTCTTTTTCCTTAATATCCCCCCCCCCCATTTTGAAATTCCTTGACTGAAATATTGCAATAAACAAAAATGACATTTAAAACATTTTTGAATTTTATGCATAGATATATTTGCATTAATGATAGTGATTCTATAAAATTCAGGTGCTTTAAATATTATAATAAATTAGTATAAATTTTAAGCAAAACTAGTGATTTACTTGTGATTTATGGAATAATAGTAGATTGAAAATATTTAAATTGAAATCCAGTTCTGATTGCTCAGTGAATGAAAATGAAATGAATCAATTGCCATAACAGAATTAACTAAGTGTATGTTTTTATGGAAGTGTCTCAAGTACATGAAGCATTGTATTATAGAAATCGACATAAATTGAAAGATCATCTATGGAAGATATCCCTCCTGAAGATAATTTTCGTGTACTTTGTTCATACGCTAATGCCAGCTTTCCATAGAAATTTGAATTCCAGATTCCGCAAAGTGTAAACTTATGTATAAAAAACATTAAATGTGTTGTGTAGATAATTGTCTGATCGTTTTATAAAAAACTAGGTGAATGATTTTCTGATTTAAGAAAATCTTAATTTTTTTTATTCTGAATTATTTATTTTAATGCTTTAATTTCGGGGAAAAACAGATGCTTCTAAGCATATTATTTAGTTTCAAAGAATATTATTTATTTTTCTTTTATTTGCAATTTTTGTCCAAGCTTTGATTCATTGTGAAAAGAAGCAGGGAAGGGAGGCGATTTTGCTAAGTCATGATTTCGCACGTTTTGTCCTTTAGAATGTTCTAGAAGAAATTTCTTTTGTGCAATTGACCTTTAGAACAGGAAGTACTTGACAGAAGGGTCAGAGGTTGCCACTTAACTTTCGATGTAAGTCATTCTGGTTTTGGCGATCAGGGGTCTGGTTGTTGGCTAAGTGATGAGGTGCGCGTGTGTGTGATCACCCTAATTCTGTCATTCGGGGAAAGAAACGGAAATTTTGTCCAAATTGAGGGGGCGATAAATGAAGCCATTGTGGGAACCCTGTTTGTGAAGGAGACTAAGAAAATTCGAGTTTGAATCACTTTTGGGACTGATGTTTTGACTAAGACTTGGACTTCGAACTTGTTCTTAGGTTGAACGATAGAAAGGAGGAGATGTAATTTCGTAGTGAGATGTGTTTCCGGTAAGGAGTGGCAAATATGCTCCCCGGCCGCGTTTTGGCAAAAAGGCGAAATTGAAGAGTGGGCAAGTTATTATGTAATATCTAAAAGACTTTGGTCTTCATCGTCAGGGAGGACTTTCTCAAGTATCTTAAAAATAAGAAAGTTTCCTCCAGCATTTTGTTAAATTCCTAACATTAATCGGCCAAGTTCCTCCACGTCAATGTGAGATTCTATCCTCGACAGCCGGTCAGCGAATTTTGAAGGTTCTTCTTTGGTGCTTGTTCCAGTGGCAATTTTTCTTCAATGCTGAGCGTGTGGATGTGTTGCTGGAAAATGATGGAGGAATTGTTTTTCAATATTTCGGTTCGTGTTCCTGAAAGCGTGAGACTCATTAGTCGTCAGTGTTCCTCTTACGGATTGTATTTCTCCCAGGACTTAAAAGAGGATTATTTATACCTGATTTCTCCTAGAATGCAAGGCCTGGCCCGAGACATTTCCGGGATGTGCTTCAAGTCGTCTACATAACAGATAAGTTTTGTGGGGGGGTTTAAAAGATATAAAAAAAAATTTATACCTGATTAGAAAAGGCCCGAGAGATTTTCCCGGATCAAGAAGTCGCTACATAACAGATAAGTTGGGGGGGTGGGGGGGGGGGGGGGGGGGGGGGGGGGGGGGGGGGGGGGGGGGGGGGGGGGTGGGGGGGGGGGTGGCGGGGGGGGGGTGGTAGGGGGGGGGGGGGGGGGGGGGGGGGGGGGGGGGGGGGGGGGGGGGGGGGGGGGGGGGGGGGGGGGGGGGGGGGGGGGGGGGGGGGGGGGGGGGGGGGGGGGGGGGGGGTGGGGGGGGGGGGGGGGGGGGGGGGGGGGTCTCAATTTTTCCTATGAACTTTTGGGAATTGAACTTGACTTTTAAATTGAATCTCTAAATTAATTCTAAATGGCTAAAATTTGCCTCCCCTTTTTCCCCTTCTTAATTTACCGAATTTTAATTGTTGAGGAATTTGAATAAACTTGTACTTTAATCTGGAAACCTCTTTCTTATGTTTTCTTTATATGTGTTTTCTTATTGTATTTATCTCTTGTTTATCCGATCCTCTCACGGCACGGTCCCGGATGCATTTACACAACACAATGCACTATATTTTCACTAGTACGATCACTAAAAGTGTGGAAATTAGCTAACTCTTAAGAGTTTAGTTCTCTGTTGATATTTGGTTAGTTACGGTTTCACCTGTCTGTTTCTGCATTAGTTTCCTCCCTAAGAATAAGTAGAAACAGAACAAATGCATTATGATGAAAAAAAATTAGCTTAGCAATTAAGTGAATAGTTGAGTAGTTTTTTTTTTTTTTTTTTTACTATAAGCATTTATAAGAATGGCATTATATATATGAAATATTAATCGCAATAATAGCAAGGAAAAGACGGAGCACTGTTCATGTGTAGTTATCCTACGAGGGTAAGTTGAAAAATACTTCCCCTGTCGACTGTGGTCAGAGTTGTGTATGGAAGTCAAAAATAGAATGAGACATTAAAGATATGACATACCTTTATTCTATTATCTCGTACGAGTACATTGAAACATTTTCATATCGTGATAAGCTTAAAAATCCTCCAAGAATTCACGCTTTGCGTATGAAAGAAGCATTGAACGGCTGTGGGAAAGGCGACACAGCAGGAAAAACCGCAAGTCACCGATACACCATCGGGTATAGGTCGCTGCATCAAGCGGATTGTTTTGCAGTGCCTACGCAAAGCGGAGACCCGCCTCTCATTTGAGCCCCGTAGTATGGAGAGAAGGTGCGTTTTTGAATTCGTGTCCAAGGAGGAAGTGAGAGCAGTATCCGCTATAATGGGCTGGAGTATCAGGAACAAATTCATAACTGCCTCATGGAGTCTATGGGCCAGGTGTGATGTCGAAGCAAATGGTGCGAGAGTGGTCGCACATTCAATGATGGACGTCAGCAAGTGGAGGACATACCGAGGCAACGGACGTGCACGGCCCTACAGATGCATGTCAGGAAGTGGATGGCATGATTAGAGCGAACCCAATCACCATCGATAGTAGCAAAGAACTTAGAATTCACATGAGCGAGCTAAAACATCATCCAGAATTCTTCGATACAGAAAGTGTCAGCACGATGGGTGCCCCGACAATTGACCTCGACACACAGGACAACGCAGGGGTAAGCCTGGACATCTCAGCGTTACCATAAATGGCAATGACTTCTGCTTCGGATTGTGACGGGGGATGAACTTGGGTCCACCATTTCACGCCAGAATCGAAGGCCGCATCTATGGAGTTGAAAATCCGTCATCAAAAGTCCTGTCCGAAAGAAGTTCAAGACAACTCCCTCTGCAGGTAAAGGCTCCTCACAGTTTTCTGGGATGCACAAGGAGTTTTGTTGCTAGACTGTTTGGAGGTTGGAACCATCAATGCTACGATCTACTGTGACACCCTGTCGAAATTGAAAGAGGCGATTCGGAAAAAAAGCGGCCGGCCTTCTCCATCTGGCGTTTCTGCTGTTGATGACAATGTCAGACACATTCGGCGACGGCAACGCAAAACCATATTGCAACTCTTGGTTGGGAGCGCCTACACCATCCGTCATACAGTCCTGATCTCGCACCAAGCGACTTCCATCTGTTTCTGGTTTTGAAGAAAAATCTCGGGGAAGGGCGCTTTGGAAGCAATACTGAAGTGAAACAAGCCGTTCAACGCTTCTTCCATATGCAAAGCTCTGATTTTTCCTGGAGGGCGTTTTGAAGCTTATCAAGCAATATGACAAATGTCTCAATGTACTTGGTACCTATGTGGAAAAATAAAGGTGTGTCATATCTTTAATGTCTCATTCTATTTTTTGACTTTCATACACAACTCTGACCACAGTCGACAGGGGAAACTTATTTTTCAACTTACCCTCGTATATTGAAGAGGAAGTATTCTGATTGCGTCATAAGGTAATGTGTTGACTTCGTAAATAAAAAGGGGCAGTTGAGGCAATTTTAATTCCATTTTTATTTCCAATTGACATTATGTGGCCACAGATCACTCTGACCCTAATCATGCTGTTCAAGAACATTTACATTATTGATATTTTTGCAATAGGAATCAGCATAGCGAAATTGCGTCCAAGCACAGCACAGACAGAAGCTAAAGTTCGTAGTCATGAAAGATGGAAGCACGCAAAGAGAAAAGTTTTGGTTTACAGTGGTAGTTTCAGTTCCCAATTATTATGTCATCAGAGCTGCGCAGGCCATAGAACGATCTAGAAATGATGTAAACCAGAGAAGTTATTGTAATTTTTAGAAGAGGGAGAATTAATGTTTTACCGTTAATTTAAATTATAATTTTGATTCACATATTTTATTATCTTATATATTTGTGTAAGATAAAAAATATGAAAGTAAAATCTAAATTTAATTCACTATAATCTCTTATATTTTTTATTTCATTAGGGAACTTCATCTATCTGTCCTAGAAATAGCCCTTAAGTGTAAACTGCGTCATTCAAATTAATCTTGCAATCTTACATAACCCTTAATGCAGGTGCCTCTTGACTAATCACCAAATTGCAAACCAAAACTTTTCTCTTCACGGGCGTCCATCTTGCTTAACTACGCACTTCAGCTTTTGCTCTCTACTGTGCTAAGATGTAATTTCGCTGTCTTGCTTTCTACCTTAACAATAGCAAAAATGTAAATCTTTTGTGGAAAGGCACGGCTAGAGTGCCAAGTGATTGTGGTCGCTGCAAATAAAAATGGAATTAAAATTGCCTCGACTGCCAAGTTCTTTAGAGATTACCAAGTTAACATTATTAGCATACTTACGCAATCAAAATTCTTCTTTAGTATGGATCTAAGCAAGCATTGACACTGCTCTGGTTTTTCCTTGTGCTCTTATTATTTCATATATATATATATATATATATAAACCTATATATATTATTTTTTAACCTGTTATGCCAAAATCCTGTTATTGCCAAAACTATCTGAGTTGATTTAGTGCCGATTTAGCTGCTCGCATAATAACCATTAACTCTGACTGAAATAAAAATTTAATGGACCAAAATTTAGTACTCCAACTGCATACCATCTGATTATTTTTAATAGCACAGAATGGACTGGACTGTATTAGCTAGATTTTGAGAGGCTAGTGTGTCATCAGATCATCCTCAAAAGTTTGTCAATGATGTATTTATAGTCAATTAAATTCATTTACAGTTGTTTCATCCACCTTGTGATCCGAATATAGTTAATGAAGTTATAATCCATAGATTGAATACCACTGATATAGTATATACAATTGATCATTTTTATAAACACTTACATTACTAGTGCAGTTCCTAAAATGCATTTATGATGTTATATGATTAGCTGCTGAGTCATAATTTTCTTATAGATCTGTAGTAATTATTCAGAATACTTTCTTTCATCTCCCTTTTCTCTTCTTTTTTTTTTAAATTCATATTTCTACCAATTAATTTAATCATAATATACTCAAGTTAAACTAATATAAGTATTCTGCTTGATGTAATGATTTTCGGATTTAAATAGTGTGTACTGTACTTCATGATGTTGTGCATGCTATTATATTTCTGTTTCTTTGTGGGTTTTTTTTGGTTCTGAATGAAATAAATTTAAATGCTGCTGGAAAATAATATTTAACCCTTTTTAATAAATATATACATGCTGAACAGACTGAACAGATATGTATATACTTGTTTGTTATTATTTAAAAATATTTTTGAAATTTTGAAAGTTTTAATCTGTATAATCTTTTTAGGCAAGAAATATTGAATATAAAGATCCTAAAGAACTAGAATGGGAAAAATTCCAGAAAACTATAGCTGAAGAAACTAATGTAAGGTTTTTTTATTTTTACTGATTTAAGTTACAAAATAATGTTCTTAAATAGCTCTTTCTATTTTAAAAGGCTGCTTTTATTTAACTAATCAAACATTATTTGTACATTTTTGTATGATTTTAATAAAGCAAACCACTGAATTAAACAAAGCATAAAAATAAATGACAACAGCTTTTATACTGAAGATAAATCATCATCTGTTGCAAATAGAATTCTTATCAGCTTGAAATGACACATGTAAATTATTTCTGGATAAAATGGATATGTTTTTGGCTTTTTTAAGGAAAAATTTTCTCATTTTTCAATGCAAATACAATATAAATATCAAGATATCTATAATCAATAAATAACATCATTTATAAGAAAATGAAAAAGTAAATGTAAGATATCATTCATTGCTTTTTACTGGAAGTAGAGTTTATAGTGTGTATCTGAATAAGGTATATTTGTCAGAGGCCATTCAAAAATTAAATCTTTGGCTGAAAAGAGTTTTGAAGTAGTTAAACTTAATACTGATGTACAATATTTTTAGCTTTCAAAATATATGTATTTAGAATAAAATAATAATAAAGATTAAAATTTAATAAAACCACTCTTTCCCAAAAGGAAAATCATTATGCATCGTCTGAGACATGCAATGTAGTATAAAACTAAATGTAGAATTCTTTATGGAAGTAATTTATTGTGCAAAAAAGGAAAATCTATTGCAACTAGAGATGAAATTTAGATGTAAACAGAAATCTGAAAGTGATAAGAACCTAGTGGAAGAAATTGCCAAAGGAGAAGGAAGAAATTCCCATTATAAAATTAATTAATGGATGTCATAGAAATAAGGATTTGCATTAATAATGAAGAGAAAAGATTACCAAACTGAGCTTTTAAAAATTAAATTTGTATTATATTTAATTGTATTGCTGTATTAACATATTCTTAGGGGCAATAGCCTTGAGTATTGGGATTTTGCTGGAAATCGCAAAGAGGACGTTCGTTTGACTCGCCTCAGAATTGATCACACTAGAGTGACACATAACTATCTTCTGAAAGCTGAAAATTAGCCTATTTGTTTAAATTGTAATATTTGTGTATCTGTTTGTCATATTTTAATGGAGGGTCCTTGTTTTAATAGTCTTCGTCAGAAATATTTTAATAGCTGTGATTTACCTCTCGACCGTTTAACACTAGAATTACGGAAGGGGTCATTTTGACACCTAGTGAACTTTTATCTTTGACAGCTCTTCTTTTTTTTTGCAAATATCTTAATCTTTTCTCGGCTTTTCCTAAATCATTGTGATTTACGAAATAGTAAAGATTTCAAGAAAATCGTATTTTTATTTTAGCCCTATCAAATGATTTTACCTAGAAATACGGCAGGTGTCATTTTGACCCCTTTGAGAGAAAAGAAATGTGAATACATTCCGTTGTATTATCTGAACACTGTTACTTCTGTAAAATTTGCACCTGGTAAACAAAATACAAACAAAGGAAAAGAATATGGTTGGTCTGCGTAGTTTCACATTTGCCCGTCACATGATTTGAAATATATGCAATACTTTTTTTTGTGAAAAGAAAACAGAGAAAAGAGATTATTACGAGCTGAATGTTTGTAGATATTTTGTTTATTATTCATAACAAGTTTTAGTGGAAAATTTTATTCTGTTTACTTGAATTTATTATAGTGACATACTAATGGCACGTAGAAAAGGACTAATGCATGAAGAAATCATGAAGCTGATGCAAGAACTATCTGATGCCGCTTCCGGTTCTGAAATCGAAGATAATTCTACAGATAAAGATGGAGATGAAACATCTCATGATTTTGAATTTATTATAGAGAGTAATCAGGCAATGAAATTCAACGTAAATCAGACTAACACTTGTAAAGAAATTGCTCGTGATGGAACTGTATGGAAAGTAGAAAATACTTCAAATACTTCTGGTCGGCGACCCTTGCAAAATATCTTGTGAGAAAATGCAGGACCAACATCCATGCTAAATGTCACATTTGTTCTGGTAAAGCTCTTAGTGCGTGGAAGTTAATAATAAATGAAAACCTTTTACGCGTCATAAAGGAGTGTACTGATGCTGAAGCCAAGCGTAAACTTCATAATGACTCTTTCACTATTTCATTAGCAGAACTGGAAGCATTCATAGCGTTGTTGTACGTAAGGGGGGCATTAGCCGCCAAGGGCTTACCAATTCTTAGTTTTGTGGTCCAAGACTTGGGGACCAAAGTTTTTTCATGAAACTATAAGTAGAGATAGGATTCTGGAAATTATGAAATTTCTCCGTTTTGATAATAAACAAACAAGGTCTTCACGTTTGCAGTGTGATAAATTTGCACTAATATCCGAGGTATGGAATACTTTTACAGAAAACTGTAAGCTTTGTTACAAACCAAATGAAAACATTACGATTGATGAACAGTTATTCCGTACAAAAACAAGATGCCGTTTTTTGCTGTATATGCCTAAGAAGCCCGATAAATTCGTAATAAAATTTTAGCTAGCAGTAGACGTTAGGACAAAATACTTATTAAACTGATTTCCATATTTAGGAAAAGATGAAAGGAGACCAAGTGATCAAAGTTTAGGAGAGAAGGTAGTAAATCATTTAGTTGATCCTTACAAAAATACTGGCCGAAATATAACTACAAAAAAATTCTTTACATCAGTAAAACTTGCGAAATCCCTAAAATAAAAAGGATTGAGTCATGTGGAAGAGTAAATCGCGCAAAAAGAGAAATTTCATCTAGTTTAAAAAATGTAAGAAACGAACTTTTTCTTTAGTTGTGATGAAACACGACTATATAACACTTACACCATATCAAGGTAAAAGGAAAAATCAGTTGAATATGAATCTAATGAAAAAAAGGTTCTTGATGTAATACAGTTTACAATTCTACAAAATTCGGGGTAGATGTTTTGGACCAAATGGCAAGAAAGTACTCCGTGAAAGCACCATCATGCCGTTGGCCAGTACATGTATTCTACAATATTTTGGACTTAGCAGGCATAAATGCGTGAATTCTGTATGAGGAAGTTACAAAAGGAAATATCAGCAGAAGGGATTTTCTATTGCGTTTGGCAGAAGAACTAAGAGAAGAATATATATCTAGTAAAAACAAATTTGTTCTCTCTTCAAGTGGCTTTGTGGATGGACAAGATTCAATAGAAACAAAAAAAAAGGAAGAAATGTCATGTAAGGAAATGCGAGGTAACAAAACTTCTAATATTTGCGACAACTGTAATAAATATGTATGCGGATATTGTACACAAAAAATCAGAAAGGTAAGCGTGTGTGCTAATTGCTGCGTTGACTAATATATTATCTGTAAATAAAATATTTCTATATATTTCTACGTACTCTTAATAGCATAAAGTTTGTTTTAAAATACTGTAATATTTGGATTAAAAACCACTTTTTTTGGAAAAAATTGTGTAAATATTTATACATTTTATTTTCTGTGTTTCTGAAATGTAAGCTATCGAAAATGAAAAAAAATTACATTTTCTGATGGAAATATTTAAATGCTTGTTCATTATTTGACTACATACATACAAATTCTCTATATTCTTTAAAATAAACTGTAGTTGTCATAATTTGCGTTATTTTAATTTCTTTTTCACAAATATATTATATCATATAGATAAATATGCAGATATCTTATCAAGGGGTCAAAATGACACCCGCTGTAATTCTAGGTATACGAAGACCACCGTAATTCTAGTGTTAATCAGAAGAGAGGTCAATTGTAATTTATTTTATTATTTAAAAGAGACTGGCTTTTATCACCTAATGTAATTTGTTTTGAAGATTGTGTCTTGGATTTTAATGTTTGCTTTTACCTTGTTTTTATATGACTTCATCCTCTGGATTTGGTACATTTGTCCACTTGTTTTTATTTATTGTATTTTAATTGTATCAATTGTAATCATCCCATCTTGTGTTTGGCGCTTTTCAATCATCTTTGGTTTTGCACCAATAACCTCTCACTCACTCACTCACCCCCACATAATTAATTAATTAATGGATTTTTGCCACAAAACTGTTGACTAATCTAAAGTTCCTTGAAATTATCCAGGAGAACATTACAAATCTTTTACTACTTATGTAGCATATTCCTGTTGGTGTCTTCATTACTGCCGAAGTACCAAAACTTTAGTAAAAATTAAAATTGATCTCTTGCCATTTTGTCTCTAAAAACAGTATTGCTAACACTGCATCTTTTGACCAGTAGTCTTCAAGAAAGATTTCTTGATAAGTCCCAAAAATTTGTCTACTTCTGCAGCATCAGGTAGTTTCCAATGATGTACTTACTTTTTAGTTTGGTTGTTGATTCACATATGCATTGCTCCATGTGCTTGTTAGTTTCTAATACAGTGATTTGTATAATTTATTTAAATGAAAAAAATAAGAGGAGGCCAAGAGATCTGCACATTCATAATCATATAACCATTCAACGTAAATATTTTCTATTATATCAATATCAGTATTCAAGGTTGCAACATTCAGAAGTGAATCCATATTTGCTTTATCTCCTTCTACACTTTTTTCAATGTCAGTCTTTAGTGCTTGAAGCAGAAACATGGTCACCAAGTTTACAACTGTTTTTCCTGTCTGAGTGATGTTGTTAATAAGTTTTTCATCAGATAATTTTATTGCATCATCAGTTAAAAAAAGCTTTTGTTTGCTCTTTTTTTCTTTCAAAAAAAGTAATAAATATCCATACTATTCAAGAAATGTAACAAAAAGTGTAAAACAAATTACACAGTTACAGAAGTTTTGTCAAAGCTAAAAAATTGTGTTGTTGGTACCATCTTACTGAAATTTTGGGGTGGGGGAATTATATGGACTAAAATGTGCTGTAAAGTTAAAAAAATGAGTCACTAGACATGCTGCAAAAATTTAAGAAAACATTCTGTGTAGACAATGAGTTATGTTGTTGCTAGCATTCTTGGAATATACTTGGAAGTTGAGATATTTTGTCCACAGTGATG